CCTCCGGGTCTATCTGCAACTTTGTGTCGTGAGCTCAACGCGCGAGCAGATCGGGCAGCCAACTCGGCTGCCACGAACTGGAAGGCAGAATTTGCAAAAATGCAAGAACTACATGCCGAGGCGGTGGCATGGTCTACCCGGGAGTCTACCCATGCGTTTCACTTGCAGGTAAACAACACGATGCGCTTTTGGCGCGCAATGTTGGACATGGAGGATTAAACCTCACTTGGTGACTTGATTTTAAGGTTGGGTTGCTGACCGGTTTCGCCGGTCATGTGTGGAGTGACCGCTCCGCTGCTGGGCAACAAAGCGAACTACTTCACTTCTGTGAGGAGCAGGTTGACGTCCGATACCAACAACAACAACAGCCGTTGATATCTTGACCGAATGTGGTGCGAAGTGGAAGCATGGAAGTCGCAAATGTGGCCAGATGCTGATTTCGTGTATGACTCCGTTCACAAGAGGGCCCAGAATTTTGACGCTGGCCCCTGGCCACAATGTCCTTAGTAAAACCCTGAGGCGACTAGATGATTTGGCTATCAAAATTTCCTACAGTGATTTGCAGAATGCTTGTGATCAATGGAATGAGATTTTTGGTTGGCCCAATTATGCAGGTTGTTGGCCCTGAACTTGACCGTCGTGCAGTCACATGTGAATCATGTGATTTGGGTGATGAAGTCACAGAATTCCAGCTACATGATGTCATTCAATCACGCCCAGCAAAAGCAGCGGCAGGACCAGATGGTTGGAGAACGGATGACATGAAAAGTTTACCAGCCATAGCATTTCGACCGCTTGCAGAAATGTGGAACTTGATTGAAACTCATCAGACTGCCTTGCCCAAAAACTTTCAAGTTGCCAGATTGGTTATCATTCCGAAGCCATGTGCCAAATCGCTCCAAGCTATTCATAAACGTTTAATTTCCTTTTTTTAATGTTCAATATATAGCCTGGTCTAAAGCGAGGTTCATTGCAATGCAGAAGTGGTTGGATAAAGTGATCCCGAAACCAAGTGCAGGTGGAAAGAAAGGTCGTGATGCATCGGAAATTTACCACCGAGTCAGAGTCATGTGCGAAGAATCCATGCAATCCAATCAACCCACAATTGGTGTCAAGCTTGACAGGAGCAAGTGTTTTGATTTAGTTTGCCCCCAATAGTTGTGCCATTGGCCATTGCTGCCAGACTTGGGCTCTCAGACTTGGGCTCACAGAGAGGTTTGCGAACGTATGGATCCAAATGCGCACGAATTTTCAGCGATAATTGTGCCTTGACAAGTGCATTAGTGAACCCCCCCTCGATAATTGCAATGGAGTCCCGCAGGGAGATGTTGCATCCGTGGGCGCGATCAACTTGCTCATGACTGTCTGACTGCATGGTCTTGCATGATTGCTAGGTTTCCTGGAATCACCGCATTTTGCTTCATTGATGACTCGTACCGTGTTGCCGCACTTGATTCGCTTCGCGGTTTGCAACATGCTGTTGGAGCCACTGCACTCTTTGACCAACTTGTAGGACAGAAGCTTAAACTGGAGAAAAGCCCTAGTTTTGGAACGAGCAAGCCCGCTCAATGTGCCATAGCTGAAGCCTTTCCTAACATCCCTGTCGAATTGGTTGTAAACGTGCCTGGAACTTCTTTCCGCAACGCCAAGACGAACAAAGCAAATGATGCAGCCCCAACCTTACATGTGGTTGAGTGCGTTCATGGTGCAATTGCCACTTTGCCGTTGTCCATCACGCAAAAAGCACACTTGATTGCTGCCAAAGCTCATGCAAAATTGAGGTACGCCGCTGAAGTGAACCTGCTGGCGAAGGCAACTTTTGACCCCTTAAATGCCTTGGTCGCCAGGGCATTGTGGGGAAATAGACCTTCTTGGAGACAAGTTGATATCTTGCTTGGGATTGTTAATGATGCATGCCTTGTTCACCCTCAGATTGCGCATGCCACTGCAGTCCTGATGAACTTGGTCACGATATGAAGTAAATATGTGGACTTTGCCGTAAAGTTTTTGCGCTTGCCCTCCAATGACCCTGAGCTTTGGCTTGGCTGATTCGTTCCTGCGTGCCCTTGCGGCCCTTGCAGTTGTTGGGTTGGACTTTGTCGCTCCTTGTTGGGTGAGATTTCTGGACTTTAAGCCTGTGCCTTTGCTTGACCTTACTCCTAGCGCCTTGCGTCGTCTTGTGAAAATGTCTGCGGCACAGCAAGCGTATCATGGTGGTGTGCTGTCTAGCTAGCCGTAAGGAATTTAAACCTGGTCCATCTGGTGTCGATGGACGTTGATGTCACGTGTCAGTCTCGTACTCTGTTGTATCCCCGGCCATGGAATCGGAAGTCTTTTGATGTGGACTGGAACATGCTGGCAGGGCCCATGACAGGAGCTTTCACGACTGCTGACAGGCTTTACTGGTAAGGTCGCTTCACCTCAATGTCGTTTGTGCCGACAGGAAACTGTGAAGATATTTGGCATTTGGTCGAATCATGTCCCGAAGCTTGCAAACAAATTGGAAAGCCCATCAATGCCTTTCCTGACCAACCGAATTTCCAGGCTCATGGAATCCTTGAAGTCCCAACTGCTATGATTCAAGCTGCGATGAACTCCTCGTGGCCAAAGTGTGAATTTCAGCCTTGCTTGCGCGAAGCGAAGCTGTGGGCGGATGGTTCAGTTTTGGACACTAGCAATTTTTGGACCAGAACTTTGTGTTGTTCAATCATCAGCGAGGATGAAACTGTGGTTTTTGCGGCTGGATTGCGTGGACCCGTGGGGATGCTTTTTCAATGCTGAACGCATGGCCATTTTGTATGTGGTTGAGATTTCACATCCAACGTCACCATCACGATGGATTGCCTCTCCGTTGTCAAAGTTTGGCGCCAGATTCTGCGCACGGGTGAGGTGCCGGGCTTTTTGCTTAAAGCGACATTTGGAAAGAGGTTGCGCGACGTGTGAAGGCGGTGGACGAAAGCGCATACGGGCCATCACCTCATGTGAATGACCTTTTCAATGATTAACGGTTTAACGCTTGAACCGCATGGCTGATAAATGCTGAATATAACATTGCGAAAGATGAAGCGCGAAAACATTTTCCTTGCAACTATGACGTTGTATCTTCCTCGCGTTTTCATACTTTGCTACGGCAACAGTGGTTATAGTCCGGTTGTCAACTCTCCTTTCTGACAATCGCATTGCTGATGATGTGGGGCATGAAGGTGATGAGCGTGTGGAGCCATAACTACTAGAAGTAATGTTCTTCGAAGTGCTGTCCCGGAGTGTGACTGGAACATCTCCCCACTTCTCTTCACTTGGGTGCCGCCTAATGTTGATCGCCCTGCGATATGGAAGTAAAATTCAACTGCTTGGCAAACCACGACTGGCTTCTTTCAACAGCTCAGATGGCAGAGAGATCCAGGAGTTGATGTGAGTAGTTACGAATTAGCTTTTGTTTTCTTTTTCAAGTGTAGATGGCAACCACCGCGGATTCACTGACGAGAAAGAGGGTGGTAGTCTTTTGGCTGTGGTGTCTTGGATCCGGTGGTACATGCGAGAGCAGCGGAAATGGGCTCAACAGATTGTACCACCGGAGAGTAGATATGAAGTTCAGAAAACTAGGAACTGTAGCGGGAAATTCCCATGTGGCACCGTAACTGGCGCGAGACCATTCTTCTCGCCCAGTGAACTTTCAGCATAAGTTGAAACTTCCCGGTCGCGGCATCACTCCAGTGCAATGGGACGTGCCGTTGACCACTTTGTAGCGCTTGCCGTAGTACGTTGCTTAGAATGTCTGGGAGATCATCCGGGAGTTGGTGAAAAAATGGTTACCAGTAACTTGAAGTGGTTTGCAAAAAACGGAAATCGAATTTTTAAGAATGCGCAGCCCTATCACCGCTACCTTAGCTATATTAGATTTCAGTGTGGGGGTCACGTGCCAAAATAATTTTTCAGAAATAATTATGAATTTCATGCAAGAACCATATACTTCGTTGAAACCATGCAAAAATAATTTCGGGGTTGAACATTATTTTACCGGGGTCGGACCCCATCAAAATAATTTTCCAACAAGGGGTCAGGTGCCAAACAATTACTTCGGAATAATTTTTGTTGGGCCTATCGCAGGATTGCTGGTTTGTGGTCATCAGTGTCAAGAAAAACCAGCGCCTGTTTTCTTGGCATCAATGTTGGTGGTTTCGATCAATTTGAATCTATTTTAGCTGTGTTGCGCGTGGTTTGCACGAAGCTCAACAGCCAGTTGTTGCATGTCTATCCCATGGCATGTCCTTTACAAAGTGGCTCCTCTGAGACTCTGAGAGGTGAACCCCCCTCAAAATAAATAGGTGGAAGGACCTGGAAATAATTTCATGGATTTGGGCTAATATTTAGGGGGGGTTGTTTCTGGGAATTATTTCCGGGTATCTGCACCTAAGGATGTGAAATATAGCAAAGGTGACCCCCCCTGGAAATAATGTTGGAAATTATTTTTTTGGGGGGACGGGGGCCCCTAGCTTAGGTAGGGGTGATGCAGTCCAAGTATGGAGATGATTTTCTTAGAAAAAATGCTGAACATGGCTTCGCAAATGCAGTCTGATACATGGCCAATATTCTAGAAAATCTTAAGTTGGTTTTGATGTTTGTGGCTAACTTTCTTTGGGCCCTTATTTGCCCCACATACATGTTCTACTAGAAATCTAGCGTGCCAACCGGACCGGGTAAACCCGTACCGGTATTGTATGTATATATAAAAAACAATTTATTTAATTATTTAATTATATATTATATATACATACTATATGTATAATATGTTCATATATACGTATATATATATATGTATACATTCATATTCATATATATATATTATTGTATTTATATTTATACACACGTACAGATTATATCTCCGTCATTTTCCGTCTCTCTCTCTCTCTCGCTGTCTCTTTCTTTCTCCCTTTCTCTCTCTCTCTCTCTTTCCCCCTTGGCTCCCAAGCAAGTGCCGGTTCAGCTCACACTTGCGCAAGGTATGTAGCTGCTGTTGTTTGCAGCTGCTTGAAACGCCTCAAGGGACTCAACGTCCACTTCTGGGCTTACGGTTGGGTTGCCATTCTCAGCATCGTGATTATAGCTGCTTGTCAGAGATGAGTACATTGATTTTCTGTTTCCCTGGGCCAAATTTCCTGCTCAAGGATACTCACGCTGCAAGTCCGCAAACCCTACTGGGTCAGCAATCAAAAGACTTTAAAAGCAGGTGTTCTTCGTTGACTGCTCCAATATGGTCCATTCTGATCCCAGAATTTCTCTCGCGATCATTCCAAGGCAACAGAACAACATTCATTGCTTCATGAGATTTTCCGTGGGCTTATGACCCTCTCTTTCAGCAGTGGCCTCGTGGTGATAGGCAAGGTCCAGAGAGGGACATGCTAAGCAGCTTAGCGTGCGAGCCATTTTGCAAGAACCTTGGTCATAAGATGTCATAAGAGACGAACCACAGTTGAACTTCACGCCTCCTTCCCGTTCATATTCCCTGCAATTACCTGCCGTATCCTTTAAAACTTTTCTATATATCATATTTACGTAATTTTACGCGTATATATATACATATACATATATATAGACATATATATATATACACATACATATAAACATATATACATTTACACATATATACATATATACGTATGTACATACATACATATATACGTATATACATATATACACGTATACATATATACACATATACATATATATACATATACATATATATACATATATATCCAACTTTTTATGTTTATACATTGTATATATATATATACATATATATACATAGATATTTATATATCTTTAAATATATACACATATGCATATTATAGACATATATATATACACACTTTTTTTACATATATACATATATACATTTATATACATACATCTACATACGTATACATATATACATATATACATTTATATACATACATATACATATACATATACATATACATACATATACATACATATACCTATACATTCATTTATTTAATATATACATACATATACCTTTACATTTTTATTTGTTATATACATATATATATATATTATATTCACATATATATATATATTAGATAGATATATATACACATATTATATATATAATACATATTATATATATATAATATATATATATAATATATATATATATATCTTTTATAGACACACATATAAATACACATATAAATACACATATAAATACACACATATATATATATACATATATATATATACATATATTATATTTGCAAATATATAAAGATTATTTACATATACATATATTTTATATATATATATTTATACACAAATACTTATTTTTGATATGAACAGTATATATATATACATTTATATTTATATACATACAGGGGTTGCCACAATTATAGAACGGAATTAGGAGTCTTTACCGTACTTTCGTACTCCTCTGGATCCCGATTCCGCGCGGATTCGGATCCTGTTCTATAATTAGTTTTTGGTTGTTGTATAATTAATTTGTGCTCCTCAACTTCTCATTGAAACCACCGGCAACACGCAGATTGTGTGAGTTTTGGAGGTTACTTATGTATTTACATCATTTTATGTATTTTTCTGTTACACGGAAGAATGTATATACATAGAAACCAGGCTTATAGAACATAATTATTGCAAATTTAATTACTGAACACACAATTATAGAACGAGCTATTATAGAAAAGAATTGGTAAATGTGAGAAATAGGGGGAAAACACAATTATGGAACACAAACACGAGTTATAGAACGACAAAAAAATTAGGGGTAAGTTGAGAGTAATTATTTTCCCAACGTTCTGAGGAAACAGGAATTATGGAACAACAGGGTACGGTAAACAACCGTACTTTCGTACTCCTCAACTTCCGTTCTATAATGGTGGCAACTGCCGTAATTATAATATCTATATATATATATATAAACTCTTTCAACAGTCGAGTCATGTCCAGTGCAGATCTCCGATGCCGATCTGACCAGGCTGGGGCATCTCTGCCATGGCTTCGCGGCTGGCGGCTCGGGAAGACAAGGGCCGACGTGCTGGCAAAGCAGCAGATGCTCAACAGATTTTAACAAATGCTGATAGTAGGGCACAAAATTGCACAAAAACCCTAACAAGTTGTCATAGGTTGTCTGGGTTTGGCGTCAGAATGATTTTTAAAATAGCTAATAATTACATGTTGTCATGAAATGTTTGTGGAGTTTTTTCAAGTTTAGGCGCCAAAGTAAGCCAGGGTGGAGCCGTTCATCTTTATTTAGAGTTTACAGATTGCTACCATGGCTACATGATTTACATATTTTTACATACCAGTACAGTTTGCTATTGAAAAATCCAATCAGAAGGCGAGAGTCCTGCAAGCAGCTTTGCTGATGTTTGCCCTCTCAGTCGTCAGTTGGCTCCTCGACAACTATCACTGCACCAGACTACGCCATTTGCCAGGTGGCATCCCTTATCCACATCTACATACTTGGTGGCATGTATTCATTGCCGTGACACTGCATTGCATAATGGTTTTGCTGCACATGGATTCATATCGGCATTCTGCTCACCTGGATTTGCGCTTCCTGGCTGGTCTTCCCGTGGTGCATGCTTGAGACACTTGCGCCACGGTATACTTCTTCCGGGCATTCAAAGTCCTGCGAGCACATTGGAGTCGCTCTTGGAGCATCCAGAGCGGCCGAGAGATTCTCAGTGGAAAAGGACCCCCTCTACAAAGCTGGGCAAGTCACAGGCAAGTCCGGTCATTTGGACCCATCTCGCAGCAAAAAGTGCGGCAAGATGGTGATTTATCCTCTCTAGGTGTGCTATGTTTGGGTCGGGCCAGGAAACCAGCTGCTGATTGACTGATTGGAGGATGGCAACGACCTGCGGCCGACGGCTGTTGGATCCTTTTTGGCACCGCAAGACATGATTGGCTGATACAGCGGTTCGGCAGCAAAGAACACCCAAAAACCTCGACAAACAATTAAGGAACACAAGCATACGAGAAGACAACAAGGCATTTGACAGTAGGAGGACGTCATCCATGGAACTGTTGATGAGGTAAGGCGATGCGGTATCCTGCCACCTGTCGCTTTCCGAAAGGACGATGAGTTCTGATCAAAGGACGCATACTTGAACCGCTTGAACCGGCAAAGTCAGGGTAGCAAGAGTGACCACACAAGAACATACAGACAACTGTACTGCACAAGAACCAAAGCCAGTGGACTCCACGCCACAGCAGTGTCTAGCCTGACCAAAGCTTGTCCAGATTGAGGATAGGCAACGCGACCGTGGAATCCATTGAATGCCGACCAACAGCACTTCAAATACATTGAAATACTGTATCCACCTGTATCCTGTCACGTCCTGTATATTTGTAGTCTTTGCAATGCAGAGAGCCCTGCAAAGATGTTGCTGATGAAGCGTCCCACCCTCAGCTGACGGTGTACAGATTTCCATTGATTTCCATTTGAGGAAGAAAAACAAATTGTTATGAGCTGATCCGACCTCTTCAACTCTGCTTAACTTGAAGCGGAAAACCTGCCAGCAGAATCCTCCACGTCCAGTGCTTGTCGCTTTTTTCCGGGTATTTTCCTCACTGTAAACTGAAATATATATATATAGATGTGGCTTCGAAGCAGTGATGCTCTTCAATGCCTCCAACGACTGCAGCAAAGGGTTATTATCTTCGAAATCCGCGGACTTTCCATCAGTCCAACAAGATACATCAGTACAGTATATAATATATATATATATGTATATAGACAATCTAACAATCGCTGTATGCATGTTAGACCCCGTTAGAATACATGGCTGAGGCATTGAACGCGCAGATGGAACCAATAGGTTTGGTTCGGAGTGTGTGACATCTCGTTCTTTGTACAGAAACATGCAATTCTTGAATAGAACTGTCAAGCGATCGATGCCATGAATATGCTGTATTTGTTTACTATAGGTACTGTATACACTGTATACTTTAATTTGTTTAATTACTTAAATATATAATCTATTTTATTCAGTTCGCAGACGCAGAGTGGATCGAACTGTGTCAAGAAAGCATTGCTGCAATGACAAGAATAGAGACTACTGATTAGAGTATTTTGATCTATTTTGAATGCAATTTGAGGGTTGTGAAATGAAGGTTGCCCTTTGCATCCACAGAAGTCAATGTGCGAGTGAGCTTTGCTTCGAGCGTTAAGTCTGCTTATGGCTTATCACCTCCGTCCGTTCAGGCTTCACGCCATTTAGCCTTTGCACTCCTGTGCAGGACTCGGAAAGGTGTTGCAGGGTCATCAAATCAGATGTTGATACTTGATGATACTTGTACCTGGAGGAGCCCGGATATAATTATAATTTATAATATATTTTATTTATACTTGTTTATTTTGTGTCAGGGCATATTGTTCTTGCCATTTCTTGTCTATCTGGTTTGGACTGTCCGATCCACCGCAGAGATCTGCAGAGACTCCGGGACGTGGCAGCGCAGCCAGAGTAAATTCATGTAATTCATAGAAAACGCGGTTTGCAAGAAAGGGGTCACCCAGGTTGACCCATAGCATCCCATAGCCTATACGTAGCGTTTTAAGATTCTTTTGTTTTTGATGCATGTTTTAGATGGTTTTAGCTACTTTTCCACCCCGGAATCTTATATAATTCTAGATATCCTGGTAGAGGCTGCATTTTGGAGATAGTTGGAGATCAATTTGGTTTGTTTTCCGGTTGCTTCACGCACCAACGTTGCATACATACATCAGGTTCACACGTGATTTCAGCGGTTGGCTATATGGTCAAGCATGAACTCTCTGATTCTTCAATCGAAGAAATAAGTTTAGAAGTCAAACCTCCGACAATATGGACAGATGGAGAAGCAGAGGTGGGAAGAGTCAGAGACGAGAAAGAGTCAGTCGAATAGAAAGAAGATCAGAGAAGAGAAAGAGTCAGAAGAAAGAAGATGCAGGTGCGCGAAAAGGTAGAAAAGTCGCGACTCACTGTTTTTCCAATGTTTTGTGGCTCCGGAGGGTCGAAAAGTAGGCTCGCTAAAGCGGCGGGTGCGGAGCCATTTGGCCAGAGGAGAGATGGAAAAGTGGACGCTGTTGTGGCGCGAAGGACATTTCTAAGTCAAAATGTTAAAAGCACATAAAAACACCACATGCGCGGACCACTTTTGGAAGTTGAGATGTTGGAAAAGTGTACGCCGTTGTGGCGTGAAGCACCTTTTGACGTCAAAAGTGTTGAAAACTGGCGGTCTCGGAGCCCTTTTTGAGGTTAGGATGCCGTTTTGTGTGGCAGGCGCAATGGATTCGGGACCTTGCCAAAAGTGAGAACGTGAGGGTTTTGTAGCATTTTCAAAAACAATGGCAGGCGTGGGAAGTTTGAGGATCTGCGAAGATGTATTTCGCGTCACAGGCGCAGTACAAGAGACATGTTCACCAGAGATGTTGGGAGGTCAGTGCGCTGATTTCCTGGGAAGGGTTGCATTTTGGAGCATCAGATCTTCAGGTTTGCTAAGATGATTTTGCGTGACAGGCGCAGCACTTCGTATGACCTGGCTTCACTTTTTCGTGGCAGGCGCAGTGCTTTAGACAGATGGAGTGGAAATATTTGGAAAATCGCGCAATGCATGGGCACAAGGCCGTCAGCCCCGCACTCAACTTTCGATTTCTGAAGGAAGCCTCGCCAGAATTGCTCGGTTTTGATGTTGTCAACTTCAAAAAAAGAGAAAGTCTCGCCGAGTGTTTCGTTTTTAATGTTGTCAAGCTCAAAAATTGAGGAAGTCTCGCAGACTTGTTTCGTTTTTGATGTTGTCAACTTCGAAAATTGAGGACGTCTCGCAGAATAGCTTCGTTTTCAAGCTTGCAGGTCACAGAAAAATAGATAGACAGGCAGACAGACAGACAGATAGATAAAAACAAAAGAAAGATAAATAGATAGAGAGACGCACAGCTAGATTGAATGATAGTTAGATAGACAGATTGATGATAGGTAGATAGACAGGTAGACAGATGGACATGTGGACAGACACAGGTAGACAAATATACAGATAGACAGATAGATAGATGGAAAGACAGATAGATATACAGATAGACAGACAGATAGAAAGACAGATAGGCAGATGGATGGACAAACAGAAAGACAAATAGATAGATAGATAGATAGATGGATAGATGGATAGATGGATAGATGGATAGATGGATAGATGGATAGATGGATAGATGGATAGATGGGTAGATGGATAGATGGATAGATGGATAGATGGATAGATGGATAGGTGGATAGGTGGATAGATGGATAGATGGATAGATAGATAGGTAGATAGATAGATAGATAGAAAGATAGATAGAAAGATAGACAGATAGATAGATAGATAGGTAGATAGATAGGATAGATAGATTAGATAGACTAGATAGATAGATAGATAGATAGATAGGTAGATAGATAGACAGATAGATAGATAGATAGGTAGATAGATAGATAGGTAGATAGATAGATTAGATAGATTAGATAGATTAGAATAGCTAGTTAGATAGGTAGATAGATAAATAGATAGATAGATAGATAGATAAGTAGATAGATAGGTAGATAGGTAGATAGATAGATAGGTTAGATAGGTTAGATAGATTAGATAGATTAGATAGATTAGATAGATTAGATAGATTAGATAGATTAGATAGATTAGATAGATTACATAGATTAGATAGATTAGATAGATTAGATAGATTAGATAGATAGATAGATAGATAGATAGATAGATAGATAGATAGATAGATAAATAGGTACATAGGTAGATAGATAGATAGATAGATAGATAAGATAGATAGATAGATAGATAAGTAGATGGATGGATGGATGGATGGATGGATAGATAGATAGATAAGGTTAGGTTAGGTTAGGTTAGGTTAGGCTAGGCTAGGCTAGGCTAGGTTAGGTTAGGTTAGGTTAGGTAGATAGATAGATAGATAGATAGATAAGCAGATCGATAGACAGACAGACAGGCAGGCAGGCAGGCAGGCAGACAGACAGAGAGATAGATCGATAGATAACCCGGCACTCCAACCACCTTGCGGTCCATCAGTGGGTTCGCCCTGCCATCCATGATTCACAACAACCAACCTCCCATGGGTTTCCTATGTTTCCTATCTTTGAATCTTCCGCCACCGCTCTGTGCGGTACTATTGGTATTTTTTATTTTTGTTTTTTTTGTGACGTGTTTTGTAAGGACAGATTGTTGGTAGCCGGGTTCCCTGTTTTTTTTGATCCTGTGCCGGTGCCTTGGTATAAGTTGTGTTCTTTAGGGCTGCCATGTTTACTTTTCATCCCTAAAAAAACTAAAACAGGTGTTCTATCTGAAGAATGGGAGAGTCCGATTGGGCCCTGGAATCCCAAGGGAAATAGTATGAAATGATGAAATTTGCACATTGTTTTTAGATGTTTTTTTTCACACATCCAAATCCTTCAGTTTCAATCGTTCCAATTGGAAAGCAATTGTAGGACCCTGCGGAGGTTCTCCAGACAGCTGCGGTGGAGGTGAGTCAACTCCTTTCAAGTGGCCAAAACACATGTCTGCATCTTGTGTAAATGATTTTTCTAACATTTTCTCTTTTAACCATAGTTTCGACCGTCGCAATACTCGTACCTTTGTGTGTGTGTGTGTTTCTTTCTGGGTTGAAGAAGGAGGATTAGAATTACTTCCTGCAACACTTCTGGTGACACGCAAATTTCACTTAGATGTCAACTGGTTGCTTTGGATCTCAGTTCAGTCACCTATAGTTTCCTTACAACCCTCGTGGCACTTGAAACTGGAAGAAGGTCTTTGAACGCAGCGTAGCTGTACTGTGGTCAAATAAACTTCCAGCATCGCGCAGCATCACAAGGATCGAAAGGACAGCGATATACGGCCATATGTTGTTTTTCTGACCCGCCTTGCGATCTCCACGCCCAAACTGTTGCTACCGATGAATATGTTCACCTTGAGTTGCATTTGAAAAAATGTGGTGTAGTTTCAGGCTGTGCTGAAAGAATCTAAAGGATAGGTGAACAATAATTAAAGATATAGTGAAAATGGGAATCAGAAGGGAAGAAAAAGGAGGAAACAAAGTCGAGCGGATGAGAGCGGCAAACCCTTGCAACAGGTGGCCGAGGGTTTGGCGCAAAGACACTTTGGATGGCCACGGCTAAGGAGTTTTCAGCCATGGCCTCAAGTCATCTCAAGCCCGGCAGGGATCTGGGGGCCGGTGACCGCAAACGGTAGATCATGAAAGCACCAAATACTGCAGTATGCACGGAGATACGCGAAATGTTTTCCAGCACGTTTTGCCTTTGACTTGTCCCTCCATCTGGCAGTTTCATGTGTTTGTTCGCGTTTGTCTGTGTGCTTGTTTGCCATTACTTGTATGAGATCATGGTGAAATTCTTGATGTTGGATGTTGGTAGCTGGTGTGGTGTTCACATGTGTTCACTAATCACTGATATGTTCCCCTCTGAGCGCTTCACACGATCAAAAGATCGTTCATCAAAATGGCACTCATTGACGCAAAAGCAATCCAGGCGCCGCTCGGTGGAAGCTTGGGCCGCTGGCCGCTCTTGCTTTGTGCTCTCTGGAACTGGCAGTGGCACCTTGGCACGGTGCAGTGCTTCAGTACTCTTCAGATGGTTAAGTCAGTCCTCAATGTGGTTTAGTATGCTTCAGTATGGTTTAGTCAGTCCTCACTGGACTTCATCAATACTGAGCCCTTCTGAGTGCCAAGATCTTGAAAAATCGCTTTCATATTCTTTCATTCTAGGCAAGAGTGGCTGCTTCATCTTGCCAGCGCTGGTTGAGCGCCATTGGCACCAGACATATGGCAGTCAAGGTTGGGCGACTGAGATCATCCGGCAGGTTTGGTTTGGTAAATTAGATGAGAATCTTGACATTCTATGAGATTCTTCATTACTTAAACCTTATTCCCCACCTGTCAGGTGAGGGTTGTTAGATTTTATGTCAGCCTGCCCGGCCTGCCCGCCTCCTTCCTCCTCCTTCCTCTAGATCGCAGTGTTCCCCGCCGGACCCGAACAGCAACCTCTGGACTCTGGATCAGAGTGTTCCCCGCCGGACCTCAACCACAAAGAATCTCCGAAGATATACCAGATAGATCCAGATAGAATGCTAGAAAGAATGTCAGAAGATATGCCAGATACTTATGCCAGAAAGAAAGAATGTCATAAGAGATGGCATATAAATGCATATATATATAATAATATATCAGGTTGCTTTCTTGCTGATGTCGATTGGCAACTGCATTTCAACCCAAAGACACTGAGGGTTTGTACATGTTTGTACTAGAGCACGGAATGCTTTGAAATGCCATGGTGGGGATCACTCGAAGTAAAGTAATTATATATATATGTTTCTTGTTTTGTTTTTAATCTGATTCGTTTGTGTTTTATGTGCAGGACCTGTCCCCGTGGCTTTAGTCATCTCGCCGCTGGTATCGCTGATGCATGACCAGGCCAGCAAGCCTAGTAGTTTGGGTTCTAGAGCACTGGGCAAAAATAGCATTCAAATCTGTAGAATCCATTAGAATATGATAAGAAATAATATAAGAATATGAATAAAATCATGATGAAAATGAATGTTCAGAGTTCAGAGGGACCGAAGCATCGAAGCCTGTCATGCAAGAGTCGACCATTTTTGTTGGATTGAAATGGACTTTTTACTTGAATCCCCTTCTCCATTGAATCACATTTGCTGATTGTATTGGTCTAATTTATCACTATACTTTAGAACAACACCACCGGAGGTAAGATGGGTCTTTTTCTTGAGAGAGGCATGCCCTGGACACACCAGGTCACACTGTCACCCAAATTCCTTGATTTTTCTTGAGCATTCATTTGGTTTCAATTTGCATTCCAACAGTTCCAATATGTTCCAAAAAAAGTTTCAAACTATTTTAACTCTTGGCCCTTTTGGCCCTTTTGGCTTCAGGTTGACCCGCCCAGGCACAACGTCTTCGGCAGCATGGCCTTTCGGCTGTGGTTTGTTCTCCCCAGGGCGGAGAGGCAAGTTGGCCACAGGTGCTGCACGCGGTGCAGAATGGTGCCTTCGTGGTCTTCATGTCCCCGGAACGGGCTCTGAAGGAGGCTCATGGGTGAAAAGAACACTGAAGACTTGGAAGACGGTCAATACAGTAGATGTTACCGCAGTTGAAATTATTACAGTTTCATTGACAAATCCCGAATATCGAATGGAATGGAGGCATTTTCCAGCCAAAAGCAGCACAAGGATATCAGAACAACAAGAGAATGTGAGGGTCCAATACAGCGCACATGCAGGTCCATTCGCAGAGGCTGAAGCAGCTTCAGCGGGTGTCTCTGGTTGCGATTGATGAGGCCAAAGAGTTGAATCTGGCTGTGGATTCACCAGCAATGAGACATGCTCCTGTTCAAGCATGTTATAGCAGCTAATGACAATAGTCATTATAAAAGGGCTACCGCCCCGGTGCCGCCGACCCCCTGTTAAAGAAGCAGGCTCTTGGTGATTTTTGAGCCTTGGGCAAGCTGGTGTGAAGAGTTCCTGGAAGCTTGTGGCAACCTCTCAAGGCTGGGCGAAACGTGCAAACCAGCAGTTTCGAAACCCGATAGAAAGGAGGTTTTGGAGCTGAAGCTGCAGCACTTTAGAGACCCTATAGAACCAGCACTTTGGAGACCCTATTGAAACAAGGTTGGTGAACCTAGCAAAGTTTGGACCCTGGCCACCTGGAGCTGAAGCTGCAGCAGTTTCGCAACCCTTGCAGTGCATTGCAGCAAGCTTGAAGCTGCAGCGAAGCGTTTCAGGTCTGAGCGACACGTGCCAACCAGCAGTTTAGAAACCCTATAGAAAGGACGTTGTAGAAACACCCTGTATAGTACAATAGAAACAAGGTGGATGAACCTAGCAAAGTTTGGACCCTGGTGACCTGGAGCTGAAGCTGCAGCAGTTTCGCAGCCCTTGGCAACGGGCATCAACGGGCTGAAGCTGCAGCGAAGCTTTTTAGTAAAGTGTATAGGCGTGACACAGGGTCAGTCTGAAGCTGCAGCGAGGCTTTTCAGGGCTGCCAGCCAACAGTTTGGAAACCCTATAGAATGGATCCCCCATGTATAGCTCTCATGACTTATAAAGTGGGCTTCCGGTCGCCGCTTTATACACCGACCATGGGGGACAAAGCCGTGTTTTGCAACATGCCCTTGGGCCTGGAAGATGACTTTATACAACGTTGGCTTTCCAGTTTATACCCGGCTGGTTTCCCACAAGGAAACGATTCAATATATGCGGCAATGCATTTTACAGACCGTTGGTTCCCTTCAAAGAATGGCCATAACATGTCACCATCCACTTTAGAGAAACATGTCTCCCCAATGATTTCGAGCCAATATTTTTCTCTTGGGGCTGCATACATGGCAAAGCACTTTATAGAGTGAAGCTTGCCCTTTAAGAAGGGAATTTGTGCTGCAACCAGGGCATTTTATAGAAAGAAAATTGCTGCAGAGCATTTTATAGAGTCATGAGATGCATCATCCAAGTCCCTTTATAGAGCTGAAAGTGTTTCCTCGTCACCTGACGCCGTCTGCAGAGGCCGAGCCACCGAACCCTCTCTATAAAGTGGCCTGACCGGGTTACACCCCTGAAAAAACACCAATCGATGTTGGTTGGACCACTTTATACCCCCTCCCGAGCAGAGAATGCCTCTATAAAGTGGCCTGACCGGGTTGCACCCCTGAAAAAAAACTAATCGATGTTGGTTGGACATGGTTGGACCATTTTATACCCACTCCCGAGCAGAGAATGACTCTATAAAGTGGCCTGACCGGGTTAAACCACTGAAAAAACCCAATCGATGTTGGTTGGACCACTTTTTGCCCACTCCCGAGCAGAGAATGACTCTATATAAAGTGGACGTACCGGGTTGCACCCCTGCAAAAAACACACATCGATGTTGGATCGACCACTTTATACCCACTCCCGAGCAGAGAATGCCTCCATAAAGTGGACTTACCGGGTTGCACCCTGAAATTATACTTCCTCCCGAGCAGAGAATGCCTCTATAAAGTGGCCTGACCGGGTTGCACCCCTGAGAAAACCCAATCGAATGTTGGTTGGACCACTTTATACCCACTCCCGAGCAGAGAATGCCTCCATAAAGTGGCCGTACCAGGTTGCACCCCTGAAAAAAAACTAATCGATGTTGGTTGGACATGGTTGGACCATTTTATACCCACTCCCGAGCAGAGAATGACTCTATAAAGTGGCCTGACCGGGTTAAACCACTGAAAAAAAAACAAGCCGATGCTGGTTGGACCACTTTATACCCACTCCCGAGCAGAGAATGACTCTATATAAAGTGGACGTACCGGGTTGCACCCCTGCAAAAAACACACATCGATGTTGGATCGACCACTTTATACCCACTCCCGAGCAGAGAATGCCTCCATAAAGTGGACTTACCGGGTTGCACCCTGAAATTATACTTCCTCCCGAGCAGAGAATGCCTCTATAAAGTGGCCTGACCGGGTTGCACCCCTGAGAAAACCCAATCGAATGTTGGTTGGACCACTTTATACCCACTCCCGAGCAGAGAATGCCTCCATAAAGTGGCCGTACCAGGTTGCACCCCTGAAAAAAAACTAATCGATGTTGGTTGGACATGGTTGGGCAATTTTATACCCACTCCCGAGCAGAGAATGCCTCTATAAAGTGGCCTGACCGGGTTGCACCCCTGAAAAAACCCAATCGATGTTGGTTGGACCACTTTTTGCCCACTCCCGATCAGAGAATGCCTCTCTAAAGTGGCCTGACCGGGTTTTACTCCTGAAAAATACACAATCGATGTTGTTAACGACTTCGATATCGATATTTGTCTGGCTGTCGGTTTCGTTCGGTTTCGATGTCTTTTGGGTTTCCCATCGATGAGGTCGATGATATTCCCCCAAAGTTTGATCGTGGCCCCTCAACTTTATACACAATCATGTCGATGCTTCCATCGACGTGATTGAGGAAACAATCGATATTACAACCATCGTTGTTTAGTATAGGAAATCCACATTATAGTGCCACTGTTCGACACAAGTACTACTATCTGGATTTTAGTAATGGGAAATGTTCACAATTACCCTCAAAAACCCACATCGAATTTTCTGTTTTTACATGGCCAGGCGACTTTATACAACGTTGGATTTTGACTTTATAGCCAAAACATGTTGGATTTCCACTTAATAGACTCCAATCATGTTGCCATTCCAGTTTACACCAGGCTATTCTGTATAAAGTCGGCCGCAAAGCATCTAGCGAGCTGCATGGGGGATTAGCATTGATTTTTTGGAATCTGCAGCAGTCTCGCAGCCTTGGCAACGGGCTGAAGCTGCAGCGAAGCTTTTCAGGGCTGGGCGACACGTGCCAACCAGCAGTTTCGAAACCTATAGAAAAGATTTTTTGGGGGGCTGCAGGAGTCTCGCAGCCCTTGGACCGGGCTGAAACTGCATCGAAGCTTTTCAAGGCTGGACGAAACATGCCAACCAGCACAGTCGAAACCTCACATAAAAGATCTTTTGGGAGCCTGCTCGCAAACGGGCTGAAGCTGCAGGCTTTCAAGGCTGGGCGAAACGTGCCAACCAGCAGATTCGAAACAATATAAAAAAAGAATTGCCCCTTGGGAACCGGCTGAAACTGCAGCAAAGCTTTTCAGGGCTGGGCGAAACATGCCAAGCGGCCAAGCGGCAGCTTTCAAACCCTATAGAAAGGAGATTGTGGACATGAAGCTGCAGCATGAGACCCTATGTAGAAACCAGGACTTTAGAGACTCTATAAAAACAAGCTTGGTGAACCTAGCAATGATTGGACCCGGGGCACCTGGAGCTGAAGCTGCAGCAGTTTCGCAACCCTTGGCAGCAGGCTGAAGCTCCAGCGAAGCCTTTCAGGGCTGGGCGAAACGTGCCAACCAGCAGTTTCGATTTTTTGGGGTTTGCAGCAGTTTCGCAACCCTTGGCAACAACAGGCTGAAGCTGCGGAGCTTGGCAAGGCTGGGCGAAACGTGCCAACCAGCAGTTTCGAAACACTATAGACTATAGATAGGATTTTTTGGAGCCCCTTGGCAACGGGCTGAAGCTGCAGCAAAGCTTTTCAGGGCTAGCGGCAATTTCGAACCTGCAGCATGAGACAATACCCAATAGATCAGGTTAGGCACTTTCCTGCCGAAAGGGTAATTCCTTATCTCAGACAAAAAAGTCAACCATTAGTTTATTTCTTCCTTACCTAACTTTCAACGAAAGTTTGCACGCAAACTTTCAACCTCGTCTCGCAAGTTTGCATGCAAACTTTCAGCCCTCGCAAGTTTGCACGCAAAACTTCAACCCCACGTGCCGAATTACCTTAAAAATAAGGTTACAATTTTTGCCTTAAAACTTACTTAATTAGGTAGGAAATAAGGAATTAACTATTAGGCAGGAAATTGCCTAACCTGATCTTTTGGGTATAGAAACCAGCACTTTAGAGACCCGACCCGGGGCACCGGGAGCTGAAGGTGCAGCAGTTTCGCAAAACCGTTGGCAACAGGCTGGGCTGGACGAAACGTGCCAGCCAGCAGTTTCAAAATACTATCATGAACTTCCACACTACCCCGGGCCGTACTACCCTACAAAAATATTAAGGATTTGACCATTTGTGGATTCCTTATTAGCATGCTAATAAGATATTATTAGTATGCTAATAAGGAAAAAATCTCATTCTGGGATACAACCCTTAAATGTATCCTATTAGCATACTAATAATATGCTAATAGTAGCTTAAAATTAGATAGTAATTAAGGCCTAAAATCCATTACGTGTGATTTTGTATCCAATTCCTTATTAGTATACTAATCCGGTCTACATTAAGAAAAGTGCCTTTTTTCTTATTAGTATCCTAACAAGGATTTGTATCCCCAAATCATACAAAAACTTAATAGTATGCTATTAAGGCAATTTGTGTCCTTATTAGTATACTAATAAGTTTTTGTATCCAAGCCCGGCCCTGGTGGATACAAAAAATTAATAGACACCTAATAAGACAAATTGTTATCCCTTCAAATCCTTATTAGGGCACTAATAAGTTTTTGTATCCAAGCCCGGCCCTGGGGGATACAAAAAATTAATAGACACCTAATAAGGCAAATTGTTATCCCTTTAAATCCTTATTAGGGCACTAATAAGTTTTTGTATCCAAACGCTATATCATGGGATACAAAAAAAGTACAACAACCTAATTGGCCTCTAATAAGGAGCAATTGTGGCTGTTATCCCTTCCAATACTTAGTAGGGCACTATTAAGTTTTTGTATCCAAACACTATATGACCATCCCTTGTCTTTGCCATGAATCAAACGCTGTCACAGGAATGAAAGAAGCATCATAGGGCAGAACCTTGGAGTCATTGATGGTTTTCTCAATCACTGAGAGCGTCATCTCTGCAGTGTAGATTCCAGAGCAAGAGCTGAATACATACCTTGTGCTTCTGAGCAGACTGGCCTCCCAGTGGCCATGCATGAAAATAAAATGTGAAAAAAAAGGCCATGCATGAAAAGTAAAATGTTAAAAAAATGCAGTGTAAAATTACGAAAAATACACATATCAAAAGATATTAAGTATATATAATTAAGATTATTTTAAGATCAATACTTTAAGATTCATGTAGTAAAAGCTACATACAAGCCTTTATTTTTTCCACCTACCAACTAGAAACGTTACATTTTCCCATTGTTACTCCCATTCTGTCTCCCTGATGTACTACCCGCTGAATGTTTTAAACCTCATTGTGGATTGAATTTATGGATAGAAATCTCATTTTTCAACATATTTTGACAAAAAATGGTTTGAAAAAAAAAACTTCAAAATTTCATTCCAATACCTTGAGAATGACCCACTGAATGTTTTTAACCTCATTGTGGATTGAATTTATGGATAGAAATCTCATTTTTCAACATATTTTGACAAAAAATGGTTTGAAAAAAAAACTTCAAAATTTCATTCCAATACCTTGAGAATGACCCACTGAATGTTTTAAACCTCATTGTGGATTGAATTTATGGATAGAAATCTCATTTTTCAACATATTTTGACAAAAAATGGTTTGAAAAAAAAAACTTCAAAATTTCATTCCAATACCTTGAGAATGACCCACTGAATGTTTTAAACCTCATTGTGGATTGAATTTATGGATAGAAATCTCATTTTTCAACATATTTTGACAAAAAATGGTTTGAAAAAAAAAACTTCAAAATTTCATTCCAATACCTTGAGAATGACCCACTGAATGTTTTAAACCTCATTGTGGATTGAATTTATGGATAGAAATCTCATTTTTCAAAATATTTTGACAAAAAATGGTTTGAAAAAAAAAACTTCAAAATTTCATTCCAATACCTTGAGAATGACCCACTGAATGTTTTAACCTCATTGTGGGCATAATTTATTGATAGAAATGATTTTTTAATTTATACAAGTGACATTTCTCATTTTGCATCATTTTCTCGTTCTTCTTCTCCTGTGTGTTACCCCTGGCCAGCCGTGCCTTCCGCCTCCCTCTAGCTATGGGCGTTCCGACAACGCGCGCGCGCGCGCGTTGGTGGAAAGGCTGAGAGGCACAACGGAAATTCGGATCTCGGGTACCTCGTTGCATTCGGATGACGGGCAGATGGCCTGGAGGGCACGGAGCTACGGAACACCAAATTTCTTGGTTTCCGCTTGTTGTTCTTCTTGGTTTCTTCTCACCAAATTTTGGAACATATTTTGACAATTTTTTTTTTAAATCAAAAATATAAAACTTTCATTCCAATACCTTGAAAATGAACCACTGAATGTTTTAAACCTGATTGTGGACATAAAGTATGTATAGAAATGTCATTTTTCAACAAATTTTGACCCAAAAAAAAATCGAAAAAAACAAACTTTTAAATGTTCATTCCAATACCTTGAAAATGATCCACTGAATGTTTTAGAACTGATTGTGGATATAATTTATTGAAAGAAAACATTTTTTAAAAAACATCAAATTATTCAGCACATATGCACAATTTTAATATTTCAATATGTTTCAAAAGCAACTTTTTTAATTTTTACAAACTATAAAAGTGACATTTCTCATTTTGCATCATTTTCCCGTTCTTCTTCTCCCGTTGTGTCTCCTTGTTGTGCTCTGCCGAGAGCCTGCCAGGCCGAGGTCTGCCGAGGACCCGGAGGACCTGTCACCGTTTTGGCACGGAGCTACGGAGCTGGGGAGCCATGTCGATTTTTTTTTGGGTCAAAATTTGTTGAAAAATGACATTTCTATACATACTTTATGTCCACAATCAGGTTTAAAGCATTCAGTGGTTCATTTTCAAGGTATTGGAATGAAAGTTTTATATTTTTGATTAAAAAAAAAATGTCAAAATATGTTCCAAAATTTGGTGAGAAGAAACCAAGAAGAACAACAAGCGGAAACCAAGAAATTTGGTGTTCCGTAGCTCCGTGCCCTCCAGGCCATCTGCCCGTCATCCGAATGCAACGAGGTACCCGAGATCCGAATTTCCGTTGTGCCTCTCAGCCTTTCCACCAACGCGCGCGCGCGTTGTCGGAACGCCCATAGCTAGAGGGAGGCGGAAGGCACGGCTGGCCAGGGATAACACACAGGAGAAGAAGAACGGGAAAATGATGCAAAATGAGAAGTGTCACTTTTATAAATTTCAAACTCGAAAAAGCAGCTTTTGAAGCTTTTCTACATCTTGAAGTATTGATCTTTTTTTATATACTTTAAATGTTTTGGTTTGTGTATTTTCAGTATTTTTTTTGCAATTTCTTGTTTTCATTTGTAAAGTGGAGGTTCAATGGGGAAGGAAAGGGGAGACACAACTGGGGAGAGACAACAGGGGATCACAACAGAGGAAAACAAACATACAACAAACATGTAAAATGGTAAAAAAAACTCCTTTTGTAACAAAAATAATAAAAGGGCAAACGCTATAGTTGATATCCACAATGTTGTATAAAATCTTATTAGGACCCTAATAAGCTGTTATACACAAATCATACCCGTCAAGTTTGTATAAAATCTTATTAGGCATCTATTAAGGCAAAAATTCCTTATTAGGACCCTAATAAGATTTTATACAAAAATCATACCCCGTCAATTTTGTATAAAATCTTATTAGGCATCTATTAAGGGAAAAATTCCTTATTAGGACCCTAATAAGATTTTATACAAAAATCATACAGTGTCAATTTTGTATAAAATCTTATTAGGCATCTATTAAGGAAACAAATCCTTATTAGGCCCCTAATAAGATTTTATACAAAAAAAAGTTGTATAAATCTTATTAGCATGCTAATAAGGATTTTTTTCCTTATTAGCATGCTAATAAGTTTTATACAAAATGCCAAAATCAATTCTTATTAGGCTACTAATTAGTTTTGGTTTGTATCCACCCCATTTTCCTTATTAGGCTACTAATTATTTCTTGAAAAATCAGGGGATACAAACCCGTTTTCTTATTTACTATCTAAAATTCTCTTAGGGTAGTACTGCCCGGGGTAGTGTGGAAGTTCATGATACTATCGACAGGCTTTTTCGGCGGTTGTTGGCATGCAACGGGCTTAAGCTGCAGCGAAGCTTTTCAGGGCTGGGCGAATCGTGCCAACCGGCAGTTTCGAAACCCTATAGAAAAGAGATTTTTGAGCTGAAGCTGCAGCATGAGACCCTATATAGAAACCAGCACTTTAGAGACGCTATAAAAACAAGTTTGGTGAACCTAGCAAAGATTGGACCCGGGGCACCTGGAGCTGAACCTGCAGCAGTGTTGCAGCTTTGCCAATAGAGAGGTAATTTTGGCAGCTTCGAAATACAATAGAAAGGCTTTCCTGGAGCCTTTTGGCAATGGGCTGAAGCGGCAGCAAAGCTTTTCAGGGCTGGGCGAAACGTGCCAAGCGGCAGTTTCGATACCCTATACAGAAAGGAGATTGCGGACCTGAAACTGCAGCATGAGACCCTATAGAAACCAGCACTTTAGAGATTTAGAGACGCTATAAAAACCAGCTTGGTGAACCGTGAGCCTAGCAAAGATTGGACCCGGGGCACCTGGAGCTGAAGCTGCAGCAGTTTCCACGGGTTGAAGCTGGCGAAGCTGTTCAGGGCTGGGCGAAACGTGCCAAGCGGCAGTTTCGAAACCCTATAGAAAGGAGATTGCGGACCTGAAACTGCAACATGAGACCCTATAGAAACTAGCACTTTAGAGACCTTATAAAAACAAACTTGGTGAACCTAGCAAAGAAAAGGACCCGAGGCTACGGCGGCGATCCCAGGCGGCGCCCCGCCTAGGCCAAGGCTAGGCAGGGGTCGGCGAATTATAGCATGTTCAAGCTTCAATCGCGCAAAACAGGAGCAGACAAAACTCGAGGACGTTTTCGTCATAATTGGTTCATGAACAGCACCTATTTCTTTCTAATTTCTGTGTTATTACGTTGTGCATTGCCATGTCCCTCTTCAGACTGTTTGGGAAAACGGAAAAAATTGCCAAAAGTGATCCAAAGGGATGTTTAGGTTGCTTTCACGGTGTGGGGTTTGGATTGTATAATTTGAAAGTTGTGAGTTGGGGTGGTGGCTCAGGGGGTTCAAATGGTTCGGGTAGAGAGTTTATTGTTCACGGCCTGGACTGTGAGATAGAGACAACATATCCAGTCCCTTGAAAGAGGCTACTGCGATCGGCAGCAAGTGAATGGATAGTCTATAATATATTATAATATATGTCTACACAATCCATCCCTGCCAATCCACTCTGATGCACCGCAGGCGCACTGTGTCTCTGAATGGGGCCATGATTTCCGGGTGCTCCGTGCCTGTTTGTGCAAGGCCTGCAACTTGAGCCAAGGCCAAGGACATGCAATTCTGAGTCGTTGGGAGTTTTTGGGACTTTTGCATGTTTTGGCAAAAAAACACAATAGGAATAGGACCTTAATGTTTCCCATCGATTCCGCGTGTCACGTTTTTGCTGCCAAGGAGTCCTCCAGCGTCCTTGGTGTTTGATTTCAGGTTCTCATGGACTATGATATGTTGTGTTTTTCTCCGTGGGCCTCTTGTTGTACTGTTTTGGTTCTGTCCAACTGGTTCTGACCAATCATACGGTTGAAGTCTTTCTCCAACACCGCTGCTTTAAACAACTCGAATGATTTCAATGCTGGGCTTCACAGAGAGGATTGGATTGCAGCAGACTTTTTGACAAAGACACGAAAACATAAAGAACAAGTGCCTTCAATTCATTGCGGCACTCTGGGGTTTGACTGAATCAGATTGCATTTGAGCTAGACTCTTTAGACTTAGACTGTAATGTTTGGCGTTTCTTTGAGCGCAAAAAAAAATCATCAATATTCATGAGGGTGAATGGATCTCATTGCATCTCATTGCATCTCCTGACGGGCGCTTGCCATGGCCTTGAGAGACTTTCATCTAAGCGCCCTAAGCGCCCCAAGAGCCACATCGACCAATTCGGAGTCCTTTCAGCCCAAAGTGGCTGAGGCTGGTTGGTGGCCATTCAGTGGATGTGGCTGGTTCCTGGCATCGCCCAGGGCATGCCTGGAGGAGCTACCGCTTGTAGAGCATGCTTTTCAATTGACATGAATTGACAAACTTATGTGATGCAGTAATACCATGTACCGTATATACCATGCATATACCATGTAATACCATGTATATACCATGTAAATACCATATATGTATATATACATATACCATGTACATACCATGTATGTACTGTATATATATATATATATACACCATGTAATACCACAATACTATCCCAAACTGTTGCGTATTCTGGATGCAAAGGGACACTGCCATAGTCTCAATACATATTTGGTTGAACTTCGGTCACGGGTGTACTCCGCATTGTTGCAAGGAAAGATCCTGCCAACCTTTTGTGGGTAGACCAAGAATCAGTACTGCAACAAATTGCTAGGACATGTTTGTTTTTTTTTGTGGCTTGCTTTGTGTTTGTGGTTGACATTGGTTGACTATATATTTGGCAATGCACCTGTTGTATTCGGTTGTACTACTAGTAGCGTGTGAATTCTATGGAGAGTGTTTTTTTCCCCCAACCTTGGATCTGCCTGATTTGCCCATACAGTCCAAGAGAATCTTGGCCCCCGTAGCCTGACCTTACCTGTGCTTTCGCCTCCATTTTGTTTTTCCATGTTTTTCCACCATCACAATTCATTTGACAAATCTATCATGTTCACGTCACTCATTAATGATATGAAATCGGCCATGTTTCTATTGCATGCCATTTGGCAACCTGATTTTTGAGTGCACATCTCTTGGCGATCTGCTGCAAATTGTTTGACAAAATGATTTATTTGTATGCTTCTTATATGTTCGGTGCACCCGACACTGTAAGAACCACCTCTGTGTGAGAAGCCGTATCTCAGTCACTCTTGCCGCACGGACTCAGACTCAGACTCTTCAAAATGTTCTGTTAAGCAAATCTACCATTTCGTGGGTGGGAGTATTTACCCAAGAACAGGCTCACGTGGCAGTCCTGCAGAAGTAGACTCAAGAATGAGATAGGGGATTATTGGTGAATGTGGTGATGATGTGTGAAACCTTCTGAAATTGAACTGCCGATTTCTGCCCTTCACAGCTTCACAGATCTTCACAGGACATTGTGAAAGATGCCAAAGATGCGGCGCACTTCACAGCACATGTGGCTGGCATGATCCACACAAGATCTGCAAAGGCTTGGGCACAACAGAGTGCCAGTCGCAGTGCCGAGGCTTTGGATCAAGCTCAGAACCTTGGATACCTTGGAGTAGAGTGAGTAGTGGAAACGCAATGGGCGGCTTTATAATGCTTTATAGTGCTTTAATAGAGATGCTTTAGCTCAATGCAAGTAATGGCCTGGGCTAGGTCTCTTCCTTAGAAAACAATGCAGCATGTGCACCCCTGCTCCCCACCTGCTGATCAGGATAATGCTTGTTCAGTTCAACGCATGCATCAGTATAATATATATACGTATTGTATAAATTTATATACATTTCTATAAATTAAATTTATATAAATGTATATAACATTACTGCGTAAGTTATATGTAAATTATATATTAATATATACAGTATATATGATTATAATATGATTATATATGCCTTGCCTCATCTTCCCATGACAACTTGACCATTTTGACCCATGTTCGCCCTGTTGCAGAATGCCATGGCCCCGCAAGGACAGCTCTGAAGGAGGTGGAGCGCATTGAAGCATGGCAGAATTCTTTGGGACCTTGCGCATTGCCATTATCGCTGTGCATTCCATGGCATAGCCATAGCCATCATCAAAGGCGAAAGGCGGGCCACCAGGACTTCCTGTAAAATCAGGACATGGAAAGGACATGGACATCCAGCTTGATTTGGCATGGAAAAAGTGACATTTGCGGCTGCGCTTCAGCTGATCTTCAACGCTGCTCATGCTTGCTGACTTAGTACTTGCATGGTTTTTTTCTCAATATCAGTACAGGTAAGTTCAATCAGTTTTGAGAGTTCCATCCGATCTGAAAGTCATTTGACCCCGATAGCTTCATGATGTGTGCGTTGGGCAGCACAATGTGGTACTTGTAGCTCATCTCTGATATTGTCTCTACTGCATCCGCAGCTTTGTGTCATTTGCCCAGTTGAGATTGGTAGCCAACCGGCCATGACAAGAAATGACCAGGTTGGTTGTATTTGATGTGGTGAGACCACTGATGGCTTTCAACATGTTCCATCGTAGCATCCCTTCAAAGCCTTGCCAGGCTGAATATGATCAGCTTAGCTTCGTGGCCGGTGCCCTTGCTGGCACTGGTCGTTCTGGGGGAACCCCACCAGTGTTGGCGCTACTTGGTTTCAGAATGTTTCAGAGTTTTTGAGCGGAGAAGAGATGGCGATGGCCATCATGCTGCGGAACTGACACTGATCACTTAGCCATCAAAATCTCTAAAGATCCCCAAAATTCCCCAAAGCAAACGCTTCACCAGCTTCTGTCTACGATGATTGCAGGCACAAATAATCACAAATAAACGGGCAAGCGCGCGCAAATGTGAATGTACCTTTCCACCCTCAGGCAGAGCACTTTTAGAATGGACAACGGAGAATTACATTCAGAAAGCCTACTTTTAAAGGGACAAGTGAGACACACAGGTGCTCAGTTGTTCTGCATGACTGTGCAAATGAGGTTGACTGCCACTTGCAAAAGTGAGGTTCGTCATGATGTTGTCAGGCCTGAGTTTTAGCTTTTGGCAGCGAAATGGTGTCTCTGTATGTCCCTGTTGCTTCTGCTGCCATCACTCGCCGATGGATCTTGTACAACGCTGATGGTCTGCAACCCACGAAAGACACCCATCGGCGAAAGACAAACTCATTTTCATGTCAAGAAATTGTCATGAATATTCTGCTCAAAAACCCTTTGTCGACTGTGCCGAAATTGCTTGCAACATCCTACAACCTCAGAAAGTCCGATTAGTCTACTACTGTACTAGTACAAAAATCTGCTTGTTTTTGTTGCATTTCTTCTATGCCGAGTGACATTGATCAAACTTCCATAAACTGCTTGTTTTGTGAATTGATGGCGGCGGTACTGGTGACACGCTGAGATTCGCAGGTCTTTGGAGCTCCCGACAGGCGCGGAGCATATTATCGGCTCCATGAACCGACCGATGCTTTGCAGAAGGGGAAGGGATGGGAAGCGTGCGCACACACAATACACACCTGCCACCAAGAGATACACTGGATGAAATATGATGATATCAATATTCAGTAAGACAAGACAAAATTATAGTACTGTGGACTGTAGTTAATTATAATTAATTACTCCTGATAATAGCAACGTGTAGTATATGATGTATATGGCCGCGGCTCAAAATGTAAGGCCAAGATCCATACCCTGGACCAACTAGCCCCGATCCATGCACTAAAAGGAATATGATTCCATACCCTTTATCCATACCCGACAATGATAAGTTGTACTTACACCATGCCACTTTAGTATACCTTAATTTGCATACCTTTGCAATAGGTGCGGATCAAACCGCTTACACGTAACTCACTCGATCCATACGTCCGGATCACTGCGGAACAATCCGCACGTGTATCCTTTTTTTAAGCGGGCCATGCCCATATCATGTGATACATGATCAAAGGAAGTTTCATAGAGGAAAATCCGAGTTAAGGAAAGTGAACATTAGCATTGCCCCAAAGATGATATTGTCCAGTTGGCATGTTCCTGAAGTAGAGTAGACTAGAGTAGAGGAGAGTAGAGTAGCGTAGAGTCAAGCAGAGTAGAGTAGAAAAGAGTAGAGTAGAGTAGAGGTAGACGTTAGAGCAGAGCAGAGGTAGAGTAGAGTAGGGTAGAGTCGAGTTGAGTAGAGTAGAGGTAGAAGTTAGAGCAGAGCAGAGGTTGTCAGTACTAGTATACAGGTTTTTCATTGCATTTTAGCCCCACGTCTATGAGACACCAGGTGCATACCTATTTGCTTCGGATTTCATCCTCTACTTGTCAACCTAGGAACCTTCACTATGCAGTTGAAGAGCTTCCCAATGAGGACTGGTGCGTGTGGGCAGTCAATCAACAGTTTGATTTGTTTTTTTTTTTTTCCGCTGGTATGGCTGAACAAGAACCTCGCTCTGCGTGAACTCTTCTTTCAATTTCTTGTAGGCGTGCAACTGAATGATATTGAACGATGAGGAATGATCCGGCAGGTGAAATTGGACGCCGCATAGTCTCCCAGTAAGTTGTCTCAAACGATCAAGAAGATCATATATAATCATGTATATATAGTTATATAATATATTATATATGATTATATTGTTTATGTTTATGATATTTTATAATGTTGTATATATATACAATTATACATATACGACTACATATAATTACAATCATTACAATAGATTATGCATAGTTGTGTACATTCATATACCTCTCTCTCTCTCTATATACATCTATACATATATATTAACACATTATAAATCAATAAATAAAATAAATAAATAAATATATATATATACACCGGCAATTACAGAGATATTGATTCATGGTATATGATGATGCTCAATTTCTTGGCAGGCTGGCCTCCTGAGACGCCTCCGAGAGCTCTTTGCTGCTGAGGACAGATGGCGTCAGTAAGTGTATCCACCAGGGTCACCAGGACTCTCTTCCCATAGCGACATGGCAACGCAAAGCATATCCGTCAAATTGAATGATATTGAACGATTCAATTCTATTGAGTTCGCATTGAGTTCGCTTGCGTTTTTCTAATGGCTATCAGAGTCATCAGGAGGAACTTGTTCAGTACGGCATTTTTTTCTTGTATGCAACCTAAAGAGCGGCAACTCATCAAGTGAAGAACGTCCCAACCAGCTGACATGGGGCCTCGCGTTGCCATTTCGAATCCATTCACCTCAATTCCAAGCGTCCAAAGAGTGTGCAG